ATCGATTGTCTTCGTGCTGGTTTGAGCTCAGGTAGGACCTGTGAAGAATAAATCGACGAACATTATTACAGCATAAATCAATTGTCAGAATCATTACGGTTTGCATTCACAGTGTTAGCGAATGTTTCATTTCTCGCGAATTTTTCGCTACACAAACTCGCTCGATCATCAGCTGACGCTTGGTGACGATTTTGTAAACAATTTATTCCTCTTTGGTTAACAAAGATAAATACGACCTGCATACGACAAGAAAACCGTTTGCCAAATCTTTTATTATTCTTTAAATATGTACATAAGTACGTGCGTAGATCACGTGATCTCTTCATTTGTTTCACTCCGTACGTGAAGCTCCAATGGTTCTGAAATGAAATGAAATGAATAACCCATTAAACTGTCGCTTTCCTTAATATAAGGCTCGGCAATTTTCCAATTATTTCTCATTGATTTTTATTCCAATCTAAAATCAATCTGTCTGGCATAGCTCAGAGTTCAGCGCGCCGATATTACACTCTCCGGCCAAAGTACATGTTTATGCTCAGGAATGAGGCTAAAAAGGGCATCAAACGCGAACTGTGACCCTTCTGAGAGCAACGAATCCCTGCGGCTATTTCAAAAGGGTCAAATGTACCCATTTTCAAGCTTATGCAATTGATAGTGTATCAGGATGTGTTCGCTTCCTATAAGTATATTTAGCGTTCAATATTACTTGAATGATTTGAAGTCTACATGAGTGATTTTGGGAAATTTCCGCGTAGCTTTTATGGTAATAAGTAGCAAAATAAATGACGTACGTTTATCTTCAAGTAGAATATATTTGTAGTATCGTCGACACTTTGAGATTACACCAAGTTCCCAGTAATGAATGAGAAGCAGCAACACATCCAATAAGTGAGCAATCCACGAGTAATCGTCAAATTTTTCGCCAAATGCAGCTGAATTAGAACGTTTGAAGTGTTTAATACTTGGCGGAAAACCAAAATAATAGAATTATTTTCAATAAGATATGTTTCAAGGTACACTAGCTCTAATCAATGACGGTAATGGTCAATAGGAAGCGTCATGATCAGCCGTGTGGCTCGTTCATACGTAGCATTGGAAACCCATGGCGAGAGAAAATGCGACACTCAGTAAGATATGTACGTAGGAATAGAATAGGAGGAATGCGGTAGCATTTTAAGAGCAGGAGCATAGAGAGAGGAACCATCTGAGATGCATATGTAAATAGCCATCGATTAAGCCGATGGGTGGAGCATGAGAGCATAGGATTTCCTTGTTTCTTGAACTCAAAATCGCCTGGGCTCTAGACCTCCCATTCTCGATTTTTCTACTTAAACGTTGAGTATGAAGCAGGCTGACTTGAATTCTTGATTACAATTTCTTAAGTTTGACTCAGTTTGACTCAACTCACTTTCATACACAACCTTTTGGGAGTTATCAGAGCAGGACAGAGTGGATATTTATGTGGGAGATTAGGAGTTCGAGCGGTTGTGAAATGATCAGATGCAATTGTCCAAGAGATTATGTAGGAGAGTAGGAAATCAGGATCTTCTGGTGAAATCACTCATTACGTATTTAATCGTTTCAGCTTGATTCCTTGGACTCCCGAAATTCCTTCGCTCTAATCAATACGTATCTTTCCCATCCTATACTCCTCGTATTCTTCCAATCGATACATCTACAATATTTTTCACTATCTCCTGCTCTCTTTCTCTCCCAGAGCTTTGAGTATGGAGCCTCCCCAAAGCGGTAATAAAGTCTCGTATCTCGCTCCGAGAGGTTAAGAAAGGTTTGTCTTCAGTACATGGACAACTAAAAAACCTCAATATTTTGAAAACATCAATGTGAATCAAATGATACTTTAAGGATATAACACCGCTGAGTATCGATTGTATAAGCTTATTCTTTTGCAGCCAACTATAACTAGATTGAAAGCATGAAAAACAACTTACCAATAACTTTCTCTTTATGAAAAATATTCACATAGAAATAATATCCACCAAGAAAAAACAAAAAGAATATCGAAGCCACCTGAAAATTTGTTACATGAGCATCACTGCTACTGCTTCAAATATCATAGATGTAAAGCCTGTCAATAATCTGTCGATTTGCCTTACAGCAAAGCATCTAGGTAACTGTACAATTTTGAGATGCGGATCAGCCGATTCACCTCAGCCACTGAGTGTGCCCTGGCAACCGATTTGATTTGATTTGATTTGTTGAATAGATTTAACATGACTAAATTCATTGATATTTTCTTACTTTCATACCACTGCATCACAAACATTCTACCCCCTGGTCATTCTCCTTTAACCCTTTGACGACAATGGCACCCTCCGGTGGGTGCCACTATGATCGGCGCAAATGGCACCCAATGGGGTGCCACCTTAAAATTTTCTTCTTTACCCATTTAAAACATTTTCAATATGTCAGTAATTATAAGCAAGCTTCGTTGTGCTTATGTTTAGCATATTTTACAGAAATGTTTAATACTAGCTAATTTATATGAATTTTTAGAATATGGCACTTCACTCGGAACAATAACTAGTGTGGATTTTAAAACTTTAATTTGTCATTACTGGCAGTGTCTACATCTTTTCAGAGTCTTAAGACACAATTAGGAGTTTGAACTGTATCGAAACTTCTACTGTACATATGAACGCTTAGAGTTTAATACCACCATCCCTTTGAAATGCGAGTTCTCTTTCCAAATTTCCACTTCTGACTCCGACAATAAATGATCATAAAGCTTAAGACTGCAGCCGCATTTTGTATATTGCCAGAGTCTGAATTTTGATAGAAAACTGCTTTTAGGGACAATGCCCCATGTTGTGCGGGAGTTGGGAGCGCCAAAAAGAGGCGTGGTCCCACGAGCACGCTACGTGCAAATCCGCATTGTCTGTCAAAGGGTTAATTAGACGTTTGCCCTTTTCAGTCAGGGGTGATTCAGATTTAGGCGAGTTTGGAGTGGATGGCGCCCAGACTTTTCAATAATTAAAGTCCTTCCGCGGGTACTATAATTAGAGGTGCCACATCCCACGCCCACTTGCACGTTGACTGATTCTATTTGAACGAAAATGGCAGCTTCCCTCTCAAAGCTCGGTGATTGAAGGAGGAATTTCATAACGGCAAAGAACAGGGAATTGGCCAGTGTAGAGAGATAGAACCGGACCCCCTGAGGATGCTGACGACGTGCAATTGCAGCCGGAAATTTGACCTCGGCGACTGGATGGCTCACTCTAGGTCTCGCGGTTCGGCCGAGGGGTACGCACCGCTGTCAATCTCTTCGTGCAGGTCATACTGGGGGGGATACATACCAGAAAGACGTAGCGTAAAGAGGGCGGAAGAAGTCATCAATGCGCAAATCAGCGGGCAAGGATGGGTCTCATCTTTGAGTTTCGGGCCATTTCAATTGTTTCTTCTTCATACCGGCTCCACTGGCCACCTCTACCCTTACATATTTCCAGTGAGCTAACTTTTCATCGTAAATTCTGCCTTTAAATAACAACCCTTGACTAGAGGTGAAAATAATTGCATGACAGCTGACTCAAGAAATCATTGTGAAGTGGAACTTTCACAATAGATTTTTCTTCTCAGTAGAACAGGGGTGCATTGAGGGCTCAATATGAAAAGTATGTATGTCAAGGCATCGTTTGTCTTCTCTTCATCTTTGAATGATAGAGTGTTGAGACAGAAATTCATGAAAGGAAATTTTCGCTCGTCAAGGAACTGCTGCCTGGCTAAACTGATCATTGGCGATCGTATAGCACAGAAACAATTAAGTGGAAACTTGAGATACATTGCGTGCTGTTCAGCCGTACTAAATCGTACGTTTGCGTGAACTAGAAAACTCTGACCCACAATGAGCTTCAAAGGCGGTGCTTACGATTAGAAGGCAGTTCACTGGAATAAGGGTAAAGGTAGTTATTGCTGCCGAGAAGAAGAAAAAACATGAGAAACAGCTTAGAATCCAGAGATGGGATTTCCGCATTGATGCGACTCTAATCGCTACTGCCCCTTCCAGCTCTAACGCTCTCTGCTGGGCTAAAGACCTGCGGCGAGTGGTTGGCCAGTTGGTGGGCGAGCCGCGTCGACGGTGGTGCGAGGATGGCCATGCTGGATCGCATGGAGCATATCTTTCGCTCCGAATGGCATGTCAGTGTGCAGCCTCAGTGGTCCGCCTGTCTTTATAGTAGGCAAGCTTTCTCTACCTCCCTGAATCCAACCTTATGGTGGATGCTCCTTTAAGTGTGGGTTACGGGCGATGGCTAATCGAAGCTTATCTGTGATAGGACGGCAGAAAATCTGAAACACGATCCTGTCGTGACCCGGATCAGTAATCCCTGTTGATAACAGAGGTGCTTGCGATGATCATTATCTGCTAATATCCCCCAACGTGTCGCTTCAATCACTGCTGGTATCGGGCAGCTGACTATGTTGTGTTGTCCAATGAATCACAAATACTTAATTTTTCACGCGAATATGACTGCTCTTTTATTAGTGATTAGGTTGTCGGCCACCTTGGCGATGATTTGTTGGCGCTGATAAGCCGTTATGAATGGCTGACAAGTGGTTCTATGGAAATATCATCCAGCAAAATTCAAGTGACTGTGCTACCAAGTCGTCGCAAATCCGAAACGTTCTTGCTTCAACCTATGGCCCTGTTCATAGACAGGGTGAGGCAAAATTACTGGTGCACCAATATTTCTTTGGCATTACGAGTCCAACTTCTGGAAATCAATCTTAACCGCGAATAATATTTATAGAAAAGGTTACAATCAAATAATACCGGCGATTCTCGGGATGTTCGTCTCTAGAATTCACGCGGTGCTTCGGACGTTTAGCAAAAGCGACGGGTGCGGCACGCGGATATTTCTTATCAATTTCGTTCGAGGATTTCAAAAGAGGCATTTGAGAGGATTCAACTTTGAGTATTCTCCGAGACTGCTGGCACATGAAAACGGAGAGCGTTTCGCTGCAATTGATGAACTTTGGAAATCTCATGGGTGCGGTGTTCCTGGACCACTCTCGGGAACAACAAGCCATTTAAACTACTCATTCTGGGTAGTTTCATTTACAATTTTGCCCTTTTCTCATTCTGAACTGGATTTTCAATTAGAAAAGCGCGAGCGCCTTCCCACATGGTAAGAAAAGAAGCCATCGAAGCGCGATTAGGTCTCTAGAGTAGTTCTTTTTTTTGAATGAGGTGGCAGGAGCACTCATCGTAGGGGTGATGGCACCGCAGCGACTCGAACGTGCGCGTCAAGGGAGCGATTACCTTTGCTCGACCGCTGCCACCGCTGCCATGCTTATTAGGTAGGAGAAGCATATGTGCCGTCTGCGCCCTCTTGCGCACGACGTGCACTGCTTCTGCGCCCTCTTGCGCACGACGTGCACTGCTTTTTCCCTCTCCTGGCAGCGCTGCGTCTATCGTCGCACCACGGTCAACCTCACAAGGAAAACCACAATTTTTTTCTGTGGTACTTTTTGCTTTCTTCCCACTAACATTCCTTTTCGCGCTTCTTATCCAAACTTCCAACAAAATACCGCACCTATGTGGTTGCGGCCCGTGCCTTTGAATTCGAGTAAACCTTGTGCAGAGCAATGAAGGGGGAGGGGAACGAGACACATTTGTAACATGATAAGCAAGCATATGACACTTCTTATTTTGCATACATCATTTTTTTCCTGGTCGTAATGATACATTTCTTAACAAAACACTAAAAAAAACAGGCATTACTCAGTGGCATTTTGACTTTGTAGAAACTTGGGCACTATTTACCCTTTACTGCCCCACTCCTCGAGAACTGAGCCGGATTTTTATCGAAATTGGTCATTGACTGTGAATTTGGCCAGAAACTTGCCTTCGGGGGTAATTCGACCCGTAGAACACGAATATCACATTTGTTTACCGCTAGAACGCCTGGCGCTCGCGTCAGAAGCGCCGGCGCCAGAACATCTCGGATCCCCAAATTCGCTGGAAAGTTGTCCTCAGAGGTATTTTGACCCGTAGAATATGATTATCACATCAGTTTGTTACGAGTGAACCTGTAGCCTGCGCTACGAGCGCCCGCGCAAAACTGTTGTGATAGCGCCGGCGCCTGTGGCGCGGGCGCCAAGCGTTTTCGCTCTAAACCGGTATTATATTCGTGATCTACGGGTCAAATTACCCCTGAAGGCAAGTTTCTAGCAAAATCCACAGTCATGGACGAATTTCGATCAAAATCCGGCTCAGTTCTTGAGGAGTGGGGCAGTAAAGGGTAAATAGTGCCAAAAACTTTGTAAAGACAGGAAACGTGGAACATTGAAAAAAAGAGAGAAAAATGCGAAGAAAAACTCACAACATAAATATACAAAGGCATCAACAACCTGGGATTTCTGATAATGATGCCGATCACAGTGCAGACACAAGTGGCGAACCCGATTAATGAAATGAATATCGTATACGGTGGTAGTGTTAGTTGCATTAATAAAATATCCCATATTACAATATAGGCGACCACAAATTTAATGACCAGCTGAAATTATGATTACGGCATTAAGCAGTTGATCAGCATAAATTCAATAGTTTGCAGTTCTAAAATATTTGTACATTTCAATAATACAAACAGTAGCGTTCAAAAAGTCTTCGCTGTAACCTTTTTCATTGATAATCTTTTTTTCTGCAGCGCGAAATCATTTCAAATGTTAATAACTGTTTCGTGTTGTCTAGTAGTATTGGCCCAACTCAATGTTATTTATTATGCAGTTGATTGTTTTGTTGGGCTGTAAGATTTTTACAATAATTTGACGTTAACCGGAATGGTCTTAAATGGGAATTCCAGCAATGTAATTTTTTTTTGTTTTTCATTCTTCTACATTCACCATGAACCTACTGGATCAGTGAAGAGGGCTTGCCTCCAGAACTTATTAAATTTGAAAGGATTTGATGCAGCAGAGAAAACCTACCAACGAAAGACTTTCGAGCGCTACTGTATATTATAAGCGAAAGCTCAATCAGATGTGTTATATTATTATGCAATATTCAACTATTATAATGTATTATGTAGATAGGAAAACTAACGCCGTCAAGTAATCGACATTCACATTTGACTGCTTCTTTTTCATTAGGTAATTAATGATAATGATTAACATACATTTCCTTGAGTGAAACATTTGAAAACATTCCGCGTGCTCTGATCGATGATCTCCGCACTATCGGAATGGCATAATTATTTGAACTTCAGGGAGTAGCACATAAAAGCATAAGGATAAAGCATTTGCCGTTGATCAATCCCGTTTTGGGATGCGGCACGCATTCTACTTCCATTTGTACATTCGCAGTGGCATTTGAATGCGATGTGGCCTATACAATGACTTGCGGGGGCCAGCCGATGTACAAGTCAGTGTTTTTATCCTCCCAGACAAGTCTGGTACCAATTAACCGACCCCGGAGGGATGGAAGGCTTGGTTGGCCCGGGCGACTCACGACCAGGATTTGGCGCGCGTGGTAAGCGTGCCACTTGCCACTACACTTCCGCAATTTCGCCTTGAGGTAGCGCAGAAGGTTTACAAACTTCCGACCTACTGAGGGGTTTAAAAAATAGATTTCAGATCAGAGCTGCAGGGACACTGGAGCATCTTAAAAAGAGAGGACATTGTCTGGATATGTTCTCGGTCCCACACCTTGATAGCCGGGGAAGCACATGTTCAAGGGGCTTGCTTCCATCTTTGCTCACAGAAGCCGCGACTTGACTTGTCCCGGAAAGTGGAAGCTCAGGTTAGCATGGACCCTTCATGTACACGAAAACGAGGAGCGGGGCACATACGTTTCACTCGAAAATCTCAGAATTTCGAGCAATGTTTCCAGAGGAATTGTGTTCTTAGCACATTGACGACATTGCGAACCCACCACCTTTTTTACCATCGCATCAGTAAGTATGTACTATCCCGACAAGCATTTCATTATTGGCAATGGGTGCAATTTTTTATCCCATAATAGATACGAATAGTTTTGGAGCATAAATGGAGGCATAAATTAAGCAGAATGTGTTCGCGCCGTGCCGTGTGGAATGCTGGTAACCCGCGCTGTTCGATGCAACAGCACACCTATCCAGATTGCACAGTGTTCAAACTACCAAGAAGAATCTAAAATTCACGAATTTCAAATTCTCGTTATGACTGAAAGGTCGGTAGACTAATGGCATAGATTTTATCACCACAATAATCTTTCGGTGCTTCATTTGTAGTGCGATTCAAGCATGTTGAGGGCTTTACTGTTTTGGTCAGAATCGGAGCCAAGGGACATTTTGGTAGGTAGGTCAACTTCCAGGCAGAGTTGTCCGCTGATACAAGAACAAGAGGTAGAGGGGTATGAGGGCCCTTCAAGGCCGGCTGGGAGCTCGTATCCTGACCCCTGGGGGGAAAATAGGAAATCTGAAACAGTGCATGCTATACACTGAAACATTTCTCTCTACTTTTGATTAGGGAGCGCATTGCGTAGTCCATCCTACTACTTTCTTCAGAAACCTCTACAATGTGTGATGAATGGAGATCCTCTGCATTTGCCTTCTTGAAAAAGTGAAACTCTAAACTCACAGAGGCGTGCGCTGTACCGTAGAGACAGCGAAATTTCCGGTCATTTGCACCATCTGGCATCTCGCCAGCAACATCACAGCATGGAAAAATCCTAAATGCAGCTTAATAGCCTGGAGTTCGACGATCAAGGAAACAATACGATTTAACAGACAGGTGGAAGAACACAATTACGAAGAGGCGTCCTTTCTAAAAAAAATAACGCAATCGGTGAAATAAAGCCAGAAGAAATTCGATAAGCTGAGGCTAGCTGCTCGTACTTTATATTTGTTTTTGTTTTTATTAGTTGTTTTTTGTCATTGATATGAATTATTACCTTGACGGACTCAGTGCTCAATTAAGTATTTCTTCGTCTACTTGAGCGGTATGGCCGATCGATTGTTCGTTGGGAACTAGAGGTTTGCTTCAATCCGTCAAACTGAAAATATTATCTATCACAGTAGTCCTGAAATCACCCGAGGCAGACCTGCGGTACCGAACAGGACCGTGAAATTGAGCGCGAAAACGAATAGTACCGGATTTGAACAAAGAACGAATAGCACGAGATAAATGAGGGGACCTCATGGAACGATATCGAAGACGCTGAAAATAAATGGCCCTAAAAGGAAAGCATAAGAAATTAAGGGGGGGGGGAATGCCCTAATGTTTGTGCATTCATTCTGCCTGTTTCAGAAGGCAATTATTTGACCAACAAAAAGCGAAGGCCAAAAAGCTACACATATAACCGTGAAAGTACCGGTCGGTTCGCTTTGTCCGTTTGAAGTTATACCCGCAGGGAATTTGGTGGAAGGCGCACATATGTAGACTGACATACTTACGGAGTCTCATAAAAATTCGGCACACCAAATTAGTGGTTTATTTGGAAGAATTATTGAGCGAAGAGTTTTATGGCGCTGCCGCAAGATAAGGGGGCATTGCGGTGGCAGTGCATTTGAAATCGGGTAAAACATGGGGTTTTTGTTAAAAACGGGACCAAGCATTAGGCGGGGTGATACGTCAGCCACTTTCATTCTCCCCGGAATTCCTGCCCCCTTGGCTTATCGCTATAGGATGCCCCGTATATTACGATAGCGCCAGTTTTCCCTATCTTCTTCACTCGTGAGGGAGTTCCTAAGGGTGTGAAGTTTTTTTTCGGAGGAATTTTGCTGGGAGAGTTTCAATGTGACCTAAAAAATCAGGGTCTTGGTAGCCTCAGCCATGGAGTTCTCTGTCATACCACACTTCTCCCTTGTCGCACAAATCTAGGCAGATCAATTCAGGACATGTCGACTTCTCTAGTACGATTATCTACATTTAGGTCCTTTCGCCCTTTCTCGGCACAAATTGCTCTGTTGCTACTTCTTAGATCTATTCAAACATGCCTGCAATCAGCATTGCAAAACAACACACTTTTAGGGCGAGTAGAGAAGAACACCTATACAGCCAAAAATCCAAACCCTCAAACAGGGTAAGGGGCTATTTTAAACCATCTTTTCCAGGAGGTCTTCTTCAATAATTTTCTTCCATCCAACCTCTTCCCTCAGCTTATCTCGATGTTTTGTGTGCTCTTAGTTAGTCTTTATGATCTCAGCTTCAGTTGGAACGAAGAGAATGCGTCCCATGGGCACTTTTAAAAGGCATGGGTCGTCGTGATCGAAATGATGTGTTATTCTGCCCAAGCTTGAAGCAAGGGGTGAGAAGAAGACCGTCAATGAGAAAAAAGAAGACCGCCAATAAGAAAAAAGCGGAAGTAGTCACATAAAACACAAACGTTGAGAACATTCTTCGTATAGAGGTCCATTATACGACCCTACCTCGGAGCTCTGATCCATGTTTGGGTCTGTAACAACTACGAGAAAGCGAAACTTCAGCAAAAAAGTATGGACTATGGAAGCAACAAGTGACGAGACGCGTGAATGCTCAAGACGCTTATGAGCAGCCCTTGAAGCTGTCACAAAAGGATAGCAAAAGAAGGCGCTAGAAAAAGAAAAGAAAAAAAAGCTAGACGCTAGCCCGTAGCAAAAAGAATGGGTATCGTGCAATGGAAGGAAAGACATTATCTGTTTATGGCCTGCAAAGAAAACTACGTATAACATTGTAAGACTCATAAAATAACAAAATAAATAAATAATTGAATAAATAAGTAAATGACTGAATAAATAGAAAATAGAACAAAGTAGAAGATCTAATAGTCTGCAATGACTGAAAAATAAGAGTTTCTGTCTTCTGACAAGTAAGAACACCTGTAATAAAGTTCCTAAAATATCTTCCCTTCGATGTACTTACATAGCTCTTGTCCTGTTGCCATAAAACTTTCTATTTCCGTCCACCAATACCTAGGCTGCTGCAACCGGACCGTGACAATGCTATAAGCAGATTGCCATTTTTGTTAAATATAAGAAGTTAATGGAAGCAATATTCAAAGAGCCATGAATGCGTAGGCGAGCCAATTGTGGGAACTCACAGATCACCTGCATGAACCTTTGAATAAATTGATAAAAATAAAGTGCTACGTAAATTTGCTTTGTGCAAGTAATAGGCATGTCTAGCAAGGTGAGATGATCATTTCTGAGCAGGGTACCACAAACCATTAGTACGCCAAAGATAAAACTTGAACATGATTACGACGTTAATACGCCAATTTGCCCTGATACATCGAAAGAACTGCTTGCTGCTTGCCAAATACGTGGTCATCGATCACCAACCCAGGAATTACTCGATGCTCACCGATGATCAAATGCAGCAAATGCAATGCGGAATCGCCAAGATTTCAAAGAGGGTGATGTCTGAATATAGGAAAGATGTGAGAAGGGTTGCGTTTAGCTAGATTAGACACCCTGGACAGGGACAAGAAGGGGGATGGGATCGTCCTTGACTAGATAGGAGGAAAAGTGGTCCCACGTATAAATACTTACCAGTTTTGAATAGAGCCGTGACAGCCTCTTATCGTTAGTAGCGGTGAAGACTGTTTTGCTCTGCAGTAAAATTTCGAAAAACGATGCGATAGCCTTTTCGACTTCGCTATGGAGCCTGCTATTTCTTGCAGAGTCGCCATGAGATGTAACTTCAATGTAGAAAAAATAATATGTATGATGCTATAGACCGCTGCTCGGCCGAAGTCTAACTAGGAATTCATAACCCGGCTTCTACACGCCATTTTCGGACATAGTACCACGAAGCCACTTCAATGCTACTATGTCCAAACAATTTGTCGAACAT